AACCTCTTGATCAGGACATGGGCAGTCTTTGTGTAGAATTCCTAGTCCCTCCACATCTACTTTCTACACTGTTCTCTGACCTGGGAGGCTGCCTGTATGGATTATATCAATGTGCTCTGTGAACTCTGGCTTCTTGTTGGATTTGGGCAACGGAGAGTCCCAACAGGAAACTACAGGGAGGGATTTGAAAGAAGTCATAGTATTTAATCCCCTGCCTCCTTCCCTGTGAAGCCACCTCAGTTGACTGCAACCCTTGATGGAAGGGTGGTCCTCTTAAGATGGCTTGCTCTTCACAACTGTCTTTCCTTTTGGGTTCTAGCAATTTCTCCCTTCTCACATCCCTGCAGTCCAATGGGTGATGTCAACTCTAATGCAGTATCCCTTGAAGTTCTTCTACATAGTGTCTACATATTTGCCATTTGACACTGTGGAAGGAAGCCTGGCTGGTGCAAACAGTTAATTCGCTTGGCTACTGACTGAAAGTTTGGTGGTTGGACTATACCTAGGGGAACCTCAGAAGAACAACTTGGCAATCTACTTCTAAAAAGTCAGCCATTGAAAACCTTATGGAGCACAGCTGTATTTTGACACACATGGGGTTATCATGACTTGGGGTCGTCATGAATTATCTGCTAATAATGGCAACTAACAACAACAACAATCAAAATACCCACTGAAGACTCTTGGTTACTATCCAGAGTATTATGAACAGATGTAGATCCTTGTTCTTGTTGTTAGCAGCTGTCAAACTGGCTCTGATTCATGGCAATCCTATGTGTGTCAGAGTAGAATTGCTGGTACTTTGGACATGGATAACCAGTTCTTTCTTCCTTGTCTTAATCTGGGTCTTAACCATGGGTAACTGTTCTGGTTACCTAGTACTGCTCTGACAGAAATAAACCACAAATGGGACGGCCTTAACAAACAGGAGTTTGTTCTTACAATTTGGAGGCTTTAAGTCCAAGTTCCAAGTGCTAGGCTCTAGGGGCTAGGTGAAAGCCCCTCAACCTTGGGGTCCAGCTCTGCCTCTTGCTTCTGGCCCACTGGAGCTAGAGGTATTTCTTCACTCAGACAGCCGCTGGCTGCTGAGGCTGAGAAGCCCCAAGGTTGACAAGTAAAAAGGCATAGTCCCGATGTTACCAAACCACAAGGCAGGCAATTAACTTCAGTCCATTGTAAGTCCCAAGGTTGGCAGAGCATGGTAGACTGCTAAGCAACGACACGGCTACATGCAGGGTCCAAGCGTGCCATACGCTAGAGACCATTCCCAAGTCTTCTCCTTAAATACAGGAAGCAGACCACATGCCAAAGGCAGCTACTCAGTTGCTTGGGGTAGATCCCACCATGGAGCTGATTGCCAGTGTCATCAGGGTAATAACTACCACCAGCTGCCCAGCCACTCAACCAGGCCCAGCCAAGTTGACACACAAACATTACCACAGTAACTCTGCTGTATTTGAAATACCAATAGCATAGCATTAAAACTAAGCATCATAACAACATGCAAGCCACCACAGTATGACAAACTGAATCATGTGGTGGGTAGATCCTTAGGGATCTCTTTCTTCCCAGATACGCTGCCAGTTGGTTTGCAATGCAGCCCCAGGCCCTATCCCCACCAGTTTTTCCCACCATACTAGTGGTGCTTTAAATCAGAGGCTAGTTGAATGAAGTCTGTGCTGATGATACTGAGCGCTCACCCTTTGCAAGGGGCAAACAGCTCCCTGATCCAGACAGCAGAGTCACATCCAAGCTTTCCAGTAACACTGTTGCTACCCACTCCAGCTTTTTCAACTTATTATTTGGCATTAAATAATAATTGTGTTAAAAAAAATATCACTTTCCAACTCAACAATTTTTACATGTAACTGTCAATGACACTGATTATGCTCATCATGTTGTGGAACTATTGTTGTTAGCTGCCATTCTTGCCTTCCATGAGAGAGACCTGAGTTCGATTCTCGGTCAATGCTCCTCATGTGTGGTGTCTTAGTGGAAACACTAGACTAATGCTCTGTTAGAAAATAAAACAAAAGATTTAATTGAAGGAATAACTGCATTTCATGGAAATGGAACACTCCATCTTAAGTGAAGATGCAGAAGTGCCCTGCCTTGTAAGAGAAATAGCCAGTTCCTATTTGGTAAACAAAGGGAAATAATTTTGCATCAAAAAGGGAAGTGCAGAGGAAGGAAGAAAGATTTACAAGGAGTTGTCAAATCACACATTTTCTTAACAACAATTCTTAGCCACATATTGATTAGTTTGTTGTCTCCTATTACCATTTGACTAAAGCAGTATTTCTAAAGCACACTTTGCAGACATTTTGATGTGGGGGTCTTGTGACTAAATATAGAACAGGTTAATTCTAGTAGAAGTCCTTGCAATGCAAAACTGATCCTTTTGGCTAAGGAGAAGTTTCAATCAACTCCAATCTGAAGCATTTTAAATGTAAAACATAGTTTACCTGACTCAGGGGGAAGTTTAGACAAATAAGCCTGGTGATTTAAAGACCAGTTAAGATGAGCAAGTAAACAATTCTTTATCTAGGTTACAAATGCTGATTCTTTTCTACTTTGTTATTTGAACAGTGACACCTTCACAAAGAAAAAGGTTGACTGGGTGTAAAAATGAAAATTTAAATTTAAAATTGAGTTTCAATTTAAGTTTGCAGTCACCCTATTCAGATACGCTGTTGTTGTTAGGTGCCATCTAGTCGGCTTTGACTCATAGTGACCATATGTACAACAGAACAAAACACTGTCTGGTCCTGTGCCAGCCTCACAATAATTGCAATACCTGAGCCCATTGTTGCAGCTACTGTGTCAATCCATCTTGTTGAGGATCTTCCCCTTTTTCGATGACCCTCCACTTTACCAAGCACGTTATCTTTCTTCAGAGAATGGTCCCTTCTGAGCACATGACCAAAGTAGGTGAGGTGAAGTCTGGCCATTCTCGCTTCCAAGGATTATCGTTGTACTTCTTCCAGGACAGATTTTGTTGGTTCTTCCGGCAGTCTGTGGTACTTCCAGTGTTCTTCACCAGCATCACAACTCAAAAGCATCACCTCTTCCTCTGGTCATCCTTATTCATTGTTCAGATTCACATGCATATAAGGCGATTGAAAATACCATGACTTGGGTTGTAGGAAAACAAAGTCCTTATCCCCTGTCATTAAGAGCCAAAAATCATAACAGGTTGAAGAAGGAAAGCAAAAGGTTTATTGAGTATCAATACCCAAAGAGACAGTGAGAATCATTTCTCCAAAATGTCTGTCTCTCTGAGCTGGGGAATGGTTAAGATTTTTAAAAAGAATAGGGCTGAGAGGGGGATAGGTCTTAGGAATGCTAATAGTGTTTTCCTTTCCATTACAGGATGAGTCATATTTGTCTTGTAGTTTCTTGGCCTTTCTTCTGGTCAGTGATAAAGAAACTGTCCTTGGTCTATCAGGCACCTCGTACCTGTCTAGAGGGATTTATTCTGCAAGGGGAGAGAGTATGGGAGTGGGCATCTTCAGGCCTCTCCTTCTGTGAGAATATCTCAGTTTCCTTCTTATCTTGGTTGCCCCAGGGCCGGTGTCTCCTTTCCCAGGGTAACTAAAGGCCAGCTATACTGTTTACACAGAAGAGAATGATAAGGGAAGGGAAAAACAGCGAGTTAGTCATTAAGATTACTTTAATCCTGTCTTTTAGCTTGTAAAGGTTTTGTAGGTTTCAGTGAGGGGTTCCTTCAGCCTTCCATTTCAGCCTTCCTCAGGGTTAGGCACATCTTAGTCTTCAAAGATACATCTTTGCTCTTCAGCACTTTAAAGAGGTCTTTTGAAGCAATTTGTCTAGTGCAATACAATGTCTGATTTCTTAACTGCTGCTTTCATGGGAGTTGTGGATTAACGTAATATGAAATCTTTGACAACTTCAACCTCTTCTTCATTTACTGTGAAACTGCTTATTGGTCCAGTTGTGAAGATTTTTGGTTTCTTTGAGATGTACTCCATACTGCAGACTGAAGTCTTTAATCTTCATCAGTAAGTGCTCCAAGGCAACTTCACTTTCACCCAGCAAGTTTGTGCTCTCTGCGTATCACAAGTTGTTAATAAGTCTTCCTCCAATCCTGACTCTGCATTCTTCATGATATAGTCCAGCTTCTTGGATTATTTGCTCAGCAGACAGACTGAGTAAGTATGGTGAAAGGGTACAACCCTGATGCACACCCTTCCTGATTTTAAAGCATGCAGCATGTCCTTGTTCTGTTCTAACTACAGCCTTCTGGTCTATGTATAAGTTCCTCATTAGCATAATTAAGTGTTCTGGAATTCCCCTTCTTCTCAATGTTATCCATATCCTCACAAAACCAAACTCACTCCTATAAGCAAGTCCCAACCAAAACCAAAACCCCCCCCCTTGGATTTCCGAGGCTGTAAATCTTTATGGAAGTAGATCTTCCTTCCGCAAAGCAACTGATGGACTTGAACAGCTGACCTTCTGGTTAGCAGCCAAATGCCTTATCCATTATCCCACCACCTTTGTTTTTCTAAGGATTCACTATATAAGCCGCCACCAGTCTGTCAGTGGAAGTTTGCATGTGGTATGGTTGCTGACCAGGTTTCAGTGGAGCTCCCAGACTAAGCATGACTAGGAAGAAAGCCTGGCCATCTACTTCTGAAAATCAACCAGTGAAAATCCCATGGATCACAAAGGTCTGTGGGGATAGCGCAGGGCCGGGCAGCATTATGTTTTGCTGTGCATCGTGGTCGCCGAAGAGTCCAGGGTGACTACAAGGTTGCTAACAAGAAGACCAACAATTGTGAAGGAGGTCTTGGTGAGCGGCTAGTAATTTAGTTTGAGGTCTGTACACTTTCTCAATGACACCACTCCAACAGTCCCCCGAGTAAGACTGAACGTCCTTCTCCACGCAAACCCGCCATTCCCCCAACTTGTTACTCAGAGATGGAAAACCTGACGCAGGCGCAGTGATCACAGGCCGCGCTAAGCCGATAGAGAGCATGCGCACGAGCCGACTCCGGGATGTCCCTTCTCCCTTAGACCCCGCCCCTCAGAACTCGACCTCAGCCGTCTCTCCGCTGCGCGCGTGCGCAGCGTCGTTTTTCCCGTGGCCCTCTGGGGGCGCGGGTGATTTGTATGTAATGGCGTGCTGTTCGTCACTGTATTGTTGCAAAAGATACTCCTCTGTTAGCTGTGCGTGTGACAAGGGCAAGTGGAGCGACTCCTCGCTGTTGGGCAAGCGGCTCTCCGAAGACTCGAGCCGCCAACAGCTGTTGCAGAAGTGGGCAAGCATGTGGAGCTCTGCGAGCTGGAACCCGGCGGCAGCCGGCGCGGAGGAGACGCAGCGCGAGGACGCAGCGCTGGAGAGGCCGTTGGTGTTTCTGTGCTCTGGCTGCCGGCGGCCGCTGGGCGACTCGCTGAGCTGGGTGACGAGCCAAGAGGACTCCGACTGCATCCTGCTCCGCTGTGAGTCCGGGCCGGGCTCGGGGGCTTGGGGCCGCCTTCTTCCAGTGTGCTGCAGCTGGGCGGCCCGGGAGAGAGGGGGTTCCCTTGGGATTGCTTAGGGACTTAAAAAGCGGAGATATGTAAGAGGACGAGGATCAACCCGCATCTTTGGCACAAGAGTGAGGGATGAATCCTTCATCTTGGAGTCTCACATCCCAGAAGAGTGGTGGTTGAATCAGCATTGTTTTGTGCGTTAGTTAGAAAACATTTTTCTAACTAACTAGATCGTAAGCATTTTGTGCTTAGCCAGTATGTCTTGTTTTCCACAAAAAATGAGAAGTTTGCTAATGAGCAAATAATATTTGTTAATTGTTGTTGGGCACCGGGTAGTTGGCCCCTGACTCATGGCGACCCGGTGCATAAAGTAATGAAACACTTCCTGATCCTGGCCATTCCCTTAATAGGTTGTGAACAGGATCGTTGTGATCCATGGGGATTTCATTTGCTGATTATCAGACGTAGATCACCAGGCTTTTCTTCCTAGTCCATCTTAGTCTGGAAGCTCTGCTGAAACCTGCTCAGCATCATAGCAACACGCAAGCCTCCACTGACAGGAGTGGGTTGTAGTTTAAGAAATTACAAAGTGTGCTGCTGTTCAGCTGCCTGCAACCAACAGAGAAATGTCCCGGTTGATGCCTCAGATCTTACTGGGTGTATCAGCGGATGCTTTCATTGTCTCAAGTGTTACAGCTGTAGTTGACAGAATATAATGCTGGTTTTTTTTTAAAAGAAAAGTTGCAGTTAAAGCATCAATAACCCATCAAAACTGGAGAGAAGGAGGTGTGTGGTAAAAGTGCTAGGAGAAAGGCTGGTGATCCACTAATTCTGGCTCTCCGTTTTTGCCCTGTGCTGTCATTTTGTTGCTTCCACAGTATTTATTTTTTAACTTTTTATTGTGATTTGGGTGCAGTTTAACAAAGCAGATTTGTTTCACAGTCAGCTGTTCATACACACCTTGTTTTGTGATACTGATTACAATCCCCACAGTGTAATAGCTCTCCTCCCACCTTCTCGCTGTGGTTATTCTTCCCCTGTGTCCTTACTTGTGCCTCCCTGCCTGTCTAGCTTTCTAATTGTGCAAATGCTGCCCTTATGATCTCCCATGGTTGATTGTTCTAAGGAGTGCATCTCCCTGGTGTAGTTATTCAGCTCATAGTCCTGTCTGTTGTTTGGCTGAGAGTTGAGCCATGGGAGTAAGCCCAATTCCAGGCCCAAAGGGTGACTTGGGGCCATAGTCTCCAGGGTTTCACCAGTATCTGTCTGACCAGTAATTCTGGTCTTCATGTTTTTGAATTTTGTTCCACATTTTTTTCTCCCGTCTATCCAGGATCTCCACTTTTTATCCCATTCTGAGTGGTTAGCATTGGTAGCTGGGCACCACCTCATTCTTCTGGTTTCAGGGTCTTATAGCTTGAGATATTCTCATGGTCCATTGGTCCATTGGACTAATTGTTTCCATACTTCTTTGATTTTCTTCATTCTTCTTTGTTGCGGATAAGGAGAGACCAATAGTTGCATCTCAGATGGCCACTTAAAAGCTTTGAAGACCCCAGTTGCTACTCAACCAAAGTAGGATGTAGAACAATGTTTTTGTGTACTGTGTTGTGCCAGTTGAGCTTGATGTACCCTGTGACTGTGGTCCCAAGCCTGCGGGCAGGCCCAGTAGCTCACACCCTCAAGGTGCTTGGTTGTGTCTAAGATACTGCCCTAACTTTGTAGGATTTACTTAGGCATAAAGTAGTTCACGTGTTTCTTTTTCTGAATTGGTATAAAAATGGCTGTTCTTTTGGACTTGTTTTCAAGATGAAGTTAATTCTCTTAAGGTCTTGTTTGAATTCTGTGAATAATTTGATGGTAGAAATTCACCACCAGTTTATTGACATTTGTGGAGAGAATGTTTTCCTTCCTGGGGTATAATATCAGGAAGAAAGGGGGACATTAATATTTATTGGAACTTTCTGGGGTGTGCCATTTTCAGTTAGATGTCTTTAGTTTATTTTTATATTAACAGTAGTTAAATATCAGCCTAAGAACATTACATGTGCCCAGTAAGTGATGCCTTAGGATTAACCCTTTGCAACTGTTGAGGTCCAACAGTGCAGAAGATGTCAAAACAAAACAAAACAAAACACAAACACATTTTCTTGCCTCAGAGTACAGCATGCCTTAGTCTTGTTTATACTTCCAGATAGATTTCATATACATGAACAGATTGACACATATATAAGTTGGTCTTAAACACAATTGAGATCTTATTATTCATACTGTTAAAACTTTGCTTTTTTTATTCCACAATATATTCAGAATATATTTCCATATTATGTTATGTTATATTATGTGCTGTCGAGTTGAACCCGACTCATAGTGACCCCTCCTTGGGTTTCCAAGGCAGTATCACTATGGAAGTAGATTGCCCAACCTTCCTTCTGAGGAGTGGCTGATTGGTTTTAACTGCCAAACTTCTGGTTAGCAGTCACATGCCTAGGCAGTATACCACCAGAGTTCCTATTATTTTACACATAAGGAAATTGAATAATAAAGTATATCACTGTATATTGTTGTTGTGTGCCATCGAGGCAGGATCACTATGGAAGTAGATTGCCCCATCTTCCTTCTGAGGAGTGGCTGGTGGGTTTGAACCGCGAGCCTTCTGGTTAGCAGTCAAGTGCTTTAGGTACTATGCTGCCAGAGCTCCATTAGTGTTTATAGATATACTTTATTATTTTAGCAGTCCTGGCCCTGCCACTTACTAGCTTTACAACCTTGTGTAAAATACTTCTGTGTGCCTAAATTTCTTTATGTGTAAAATGAGGATTATATTTACTTGGGATTAAATAAGTTAATGTGTGTCGTATGCTCAGAAATTGTAATAAGTGCCACTTAGTGGTTTATTGTAGGATGGTGCTGTAAGTCCCCAGTCTGGCCCCATCCATAGAGGTCTAGATTGCTTCCGGTGATGCCACTGTTGGAACAGCATATATTTGGGCTCAGATTTTTGATACAGTTGTTGTTATGTGACATCGAGTCGGACCCAACTCATAGCGACCCCTCCTTGGGTTTCCAAGGCAGTATCATTACGAAGTAGATTGTCCCATCTTCCTTCTGAGGATAGTAGGAGAAGCTATTTGTTTTAGTAGGTGCATTTATCTCATTTACAGCTTCTCAAGCACTAGTATGTTTAATATGTTTAGTATGTTAAATCTTTCATTTTATTTGTACTTTCTGTTTTCATAGCTTTTTCCCTCCTGTCTTTTGGCATGTGAGCTGTTTGTTTCATTTTAAATATAAAAATCATTTTTTTTATTTCTATTTACTTTTTCTATCCCATAGTTGTTTCAACTTTTATTGAACTATATATAAATATCTTGATTTATCAGCTTTAGACAATTTGATGGAAATTTCCTCCTCTTAGAAATATAAAGAAATTAACTCAATTCCCGTTCCCTACTGCCCACTTTGACTTCAGTTATTTTTACTTTGTCAAGGTTATAAAATATACACTCAGATCTATAGTCATAATTCCCATGATCATTTAAGTTTAAAATAACATTTACATGGAATTTTTTCTCAACTTCGGTACTCTCATAAAGAACCTTGGTGGCATAGTAAGCACTCAATTGCTTACTGAAAGGTTGATGTTTCAGACCCACCCAGTGGCTCCAAGGGAGAAAGACCTGGCTATCTGCTCCTATAAATATTAAAAAACAACACCTAACCAAACCTGTTACCATGGAGTCAGTTCTGACTCATATTGACCCTATAGGATAGAGTAGAACTGCCCAGTAGGGTTTCCAAGACTGAAATCTTTACGGGAGCCAACTACCACACCTTTTTCCTGTGGAGAGCCTGGTAGGTTTGAACTGCTGACCTTTTGATTAAGCAGGTGAACACTTAACCATTATGACATCAGGTCTTCTTCCAGAATTGACTCAGTCATGCACAACAAAAGCAGCACTCTTACACTTTTTCCCTTCCTGACTTACTTTGATTGTTCTTGTTGTTAGCTTCTGTGGAGTCTGCACTGACTCATGGAGACCCATGCACAGAGAGATTGGACTGTTGTGATCTGTAGGGTTTTTATTGGCTGAATTGTGGAAGTAGTTCTCCAGGCTTTTCTTCCTGGTTAACAACACACAAGCCTTCTCTGACAGATGAGTGCTGGCTGTGCTTGAGGAATATTGGCTGGGAATGGAAGCTAGGTCTCCCACGTGGAAGGCGAGAATTCTTATCACTAAACTTCTACTGCCCTCTTTATTTTGATTAATCGTCATTGATATAGGTATGCATTGCTTAATGTCCACGATATGTTTTGTGAAATAGAACGTTATGTGATTTGGTTGTTGTATAAGTAACATATTAAAACATTATGGGAGCCGCCTCCTAGTTGTCGTTGTCACAGTTGCTGATCCCCCTGCAGCTACTGGAGCTGCTGGTGGAGGCCTGAGGAATGGATGTGGGTGCCCACGCTGGCCAGCTAGAGGACAGGGGTGGGGTAGCTAACAGGAGGAAGCAAGCTAAGAGGGAGTGGAGTGCACCCAGCCTCCCACTGTTCTGCCCACCTGAGCTGCTGGAGCAGCATGGGCCCCTACAGCCTTTGATGTCCCATTCCTAGCCAGCAAAGCCTAAGAACCTGAGCCTACAACCATGTTTTCTGTGTCACCTGCCTGTATTCTACCTGTAATCCAGTGCTGCCAGAGTCTGGGTTTAGGGTCTTTAAAACCACTGGGGAAAATAACGAGAGTTGCTTTCCCTTTTAAAACAAAAACGTTGTGGAACGTATATGTGGTCAGACATAGCCTGAATGGATGTTAAGTGACGCATACTTGGAGTTCCCCTTACCAAGAAAACTCCAGGTTTAAGCGCTTGAAAATGTCTATTGTCTTTATACGTAAATGTCAACTGGGCTACATGTGTAGCTCTTCGGTCATGCTTTGTGCTTTCTCCAGGCATAAAGAAGAGCTAGTGCAAAGGCCTTGATGCTTGTGTAACTCTAAACCAAAAAACCAAACCAAACTTACTGCCGTCAAGTCGATCCCGACTTATAGCATCCCCTCCTTGGGTTTCCAAGGCAGTGTTTCTATAGAAGTGGATTGTCTAGTTTTTCTTCTGGGGAGTGGCTGGTGGGTTTGAACCTCCAGCCTTCTGGTTAGCAGTCAGATGCCTTAGGCACTGTGCCACCAGAGCTCCTTGTGTGACTGTGGAGTAGAATAAAGATAAAATTTGGGGTAGAAGGAAGGGGCAGGAAATTTAGAGCCTTGTAGCATAGTGGCTAAGGCACTTGGCTGCTAACCAGAAGGCTGGCAGTTCAAACCCACCAGCCACTCCTCGGAAGGAAGATGGGGCGATCTACTTCCGTAGTGATACTGCCTCGGAAACCCAAGGAGGGGTCGCTATGAGTCGGGGTTGACTCGACGGCACATAACAACAACAACAACAACATGCTATTTTAAGGAGATGTGGTCTATTCTAGTGATTAAAAAGACAAGGAGTGATACAACCCACTCAGAAGTAGGGAGGTCAGTCAGGAGCTATTGCAGAAGTTCATGCAAGAAGTAGTAATAGCTGAGCTGAGGATGGAGAAGAGTAAATGTGTTGAATTGATAGTTGTGAGGTAGAATTCATAGGACTTGCCATTGAAGTGAAGATGGGGGGCTGGATGAGGAGATAGAAGAATCAAGGATAGCACTGGGGTTTCTGATTTGAGCCATGGAATGGGAGGTGGTAACATTTACCAAATAAGGTAGACCGTAGGAGGAAATGAAATTAAGGAGCTGTTTTGTTAGGTCAGATATGATATTATCCTTCGTCACCCCCACCCACTACTTTAGAGTGTCCTGGACCTGTATCGTCCAATATTTCCTGCTTCATTGATTCAGCTATGACCCTTGTCCAAGTCATGATTCAAGTAAAAGATTTTTGGCTGGGTTCCTGGGGACCCTCTTAATTACTTTTAGAGAAATGAGCTCTCTGGAGGTCTGGAGATATATGCATTGGCTTTTAGCATGTTCCTTGGTTTTGATCCTAATTTCACCAAATCTAGTAGTTACTTTTCGTAGTCTATGATCTGAGATTCTCATTTTCCCAAGTTTTACTAATGCCTGAAATATTCTTCCTAAGTTTATTCATTTTGTTAATGTTAGTGGTTTTCAGGGAAGGAAATAACTCTTCCTCTGCTCTTTCCCCAGAAGACCCCTGCATAATTAGTTTTGAACCCGTGTGTGTGTGTGTGTGTGTGTGTATGTATGTATGTATATGTGTATGAATGCATGAGAGGGAGGGAGAGAGCAAGAAAGAGAAGATACTTTGGCTTCTTATTTTTTTATGGCCCTCTGAGTTTTAACATAAAACTTAGAGGTTTTCTGAATATCTACATGTATGTTATAACAAACCACATTAATCAATTATAGTTACTTTCCTTCTTTCTAGGTGTTTCCTGTAATGTTTCTGTTGACAAAGAACAGAAGCTATCCAAACGTACACATGAAAATGGTTGGTGAGTAAAGCTATATCTATTAAATATGTATGTTAGTAAAAGCTTGTTTTTCAAGTAAAAGTCTTAAAAGATCATTACTAGTAAGATTACTTGGGATAAAACTATTTCATAATAATCACTAGAAGTCAGTCACTTAAACCTATAAATTCTTGAGTGATGGTGGCCCCTTAAATATTGAGATGGAAGTGTTTCTAGATTCTAAAGACATATTCTGATATCTTCTTTTTTGCTCTTCAGTCTTGATTTTGAAGAAAATCAAGAAATAGAAAAAGAAAATATCTGTATCATAAAATCTCATAGCCAAAGGTTTCCTTAGAGCAATGTTGTCTACCTTGTTCATGTCATGGCACACATAGAAAATGCATATACATATACATATATATATATACG